CTCTCTCTCTCTTTCTTCTCTCTCTCTCTCTCCTCCTCCTCTCTCTCTCTCTCTCTCTCTCTCTCTCTCTTTCGCTCCTACCTAACCTCCCTGACGCCGATCGATGCTTTTATCCTGCGTCCTTCTCCTCCGCAGCCGGCTAAATGTCACTTCTCGCGCCACCGTTTGAACGAGGCCTTATAGCAAACTCCGGTATTTCACGTGCCGACATGAATCAGGACACGTTTCTTCGATTGGTGTGACCAAGGGGGAAAGTTTAGCGAGGAAATTGGAATTGTTGGAGATCGTGGAGGACTTTCGTGAAAGGGGATGAGCTCGAGTGGACTCAAGTTCGAGGAGCAAGTTTCTGTGAAGGAGATTGTAATATTTCTATTAATGAGTTTTGAATGAAGATTCAAGAGAAAAGAGCACGATAAGTATATACTTTTTTAGAAGGAGTGATTTCAATATATTAGGTATTTTGTGAAAATTATCTTACTCGATGGTTGGGATTACATGTAAATTTTTTGAAGATATCGATTTTTAGTATATTAGATATTCTGTGGGTAAGTTGTATATTCTCTGTTACGTAGTCTCGTGTCATGAGTATATCAAAAAACTTAAAATTCGATTAATACGATAAATTGAGGCCTTTTTCTTTGAATTTATCTTATCATGACTTTTTTAGAATAATTTTTGTTTATTTATATATTAATATAAATTTTATCGTACAATAATTCGTTCATTTTAGGTTTATCAATTGTAAGATTATATAGTTGCCTAACGTATCCAAATTAACTGGAACTATTTTAACATTAAAGCATTGCATATTATATCGAAACTCATGAAAAGTTATAAAATTGTTTGTTATAATATATACATTTTGATTCATTTCGTAAAATATAATGAGAATTTTGAAATACTTTCGAGAAATATGTTTTCAAAATTTCAAATATTGCAATTTCATTCCCTTCCTTTCCATAAGATAGCATGAAATATTTATAGCAAGGTTAGGTATATCTCTAGATTTAAGTTACGTAATAAAGAAAGGATAAAAGGATGTCTGGGGTGACGTAACTATAAAAATATCTCCATATATCTCGAGATATAAAATATAATTATACAAGTTTTCGTATTTATAAAAGTTTTTCTATATTTTTAATGAAAACAAATTTCTTATGTGAAATACTTAATTCTAAAAATTGACAAATTTAAATTAATAATTGACCCAGACATTTAGATTTACATTGCGTCAACAAATGGTCTAATGATTGTCGATAATGAGCGGATGTTTTGTACATACTGTCACTTGCCAAAAAGTTGTTGGCACTTTTGCAACCGGCTATCAGTGAAACATTAAAGTGTTACTTGTGCTATTACGAATTGCAACGAAAATTTCGAGATTCTATTTTTTTTTGATGACAAAATCGATAATTTACATTATTTCTTTTTCCTTCTTCTTTCCAGTTAAAAGAAGAAAAGTGAAAGACGTCATCAACGAGATATCTAAATGCATTTTCAAGAGGAAAATCAAAGAGGACGTCTATACGACACTAATCGTCTTAAGAATTATTGATTAAAGCGAGAAATTTAATATTAAAAGAGTAAAATTGAGAATTGTAATAAATATTTGATGAAACGATTACTGTAATCTCTTTAACGTTATTAACGATTTAATTAAAAATGATGCTCTCTTCTTAACATCTTCAATTATCCATATTATATCTTTTGAAAATATATAATATTTTATAATAAAAATATCTTTAAAAAAAATGCTTCTATAAAGAATAATTCAACGTAAAAATAAATTTCGAAATTTCGAAAAAACATTTCATATCGATATCGTTGGTTGAACATTGTAGGAAATGGCGCATGTTTTATCGGCAATACTGTTCTACGAAACAGTGACGCGTTATCCATATATCATCGTTACGTAATATACGTGATAATCGTAACTAGTAAACAAAACAATGAGATTCGTATTTAGCGAATGCTTTTCGAATGTTACTGTTCGATCACATAACACGAGTACGAAAATAAAATTATTTTTATTTTTATTTCACTCATGTGATTGTTAAAAATTATATTTCATCGTATATTTGTATTTTTTGGATCGTTAAACGTTATTAATTACTTGTCAACTCTGCATTATATCTTGATAATATTTGATTTTTTGCACGAAGCAATTTTTAAAAATTAATTATAAGTATAATATCAAGAATTTTCAGTTATGTTATATCATTATCAAGACTTTTTACAATTTGAGCCGAATGTAAAGAAATGTTTTTTTAACACACGTATCTATATACAAGTTTTGCAATATTGATAATTAAGGATTATGTTCGAGACATTAAGCTCTATTTATATATCGAGAATTCTTTGTCGTTTTATCTGTGACAAACAAACGTGCATTCGATATTAAATCACGTATATGTCATTGATAAAATTACTTTCTCCGATATATGAATTATTAACTATTTAACAAATAGTTTCGATGACTAATTGGAATATTGAACACTGAATGCCGAACACGATTCTAAATGCAAATTAGAGGAGCGCGCATGCTTCATTTAAATACACGGTTTCAAATATTTATGACATCGTCTATAGGTCGTTTTAAAAACGGATACATAGGACAGGATCACAAATCATCGAAAATATCATCGTCTTCCCAATTAAATCTTTCACCATCAATTCTTTTGCATCACTGCTTGTTTATGTAACAGTTTATTTACAATTTATTTTTTGCAATCAATTTATATGATTTCTTATTCTTATTATAATGTGATTTAAGACAAAGAATTTTATAAATCTACTTAATATTTTCTTCTCCCAGAAAAGATTCTGTAATTTGAAGATTTGAAGAAATTTTGAAATTCTTTTTATAGATCCAATAATATTATTAATGGAACTATTGATTGAAGTATCAAGATATCACAAAATAATAGAATATCAAAGTATCAAAACATTATTAAAATTCTTAAATAATCGGAATATCTTAATCTAAATTATCTAAATACGAATCGAATTATCAACTTTCTTTGGCATTTCGAAATTCAAATCTTGGAAAATTACATTCTTCCTAACATACGTATTTTAAACGACATTTCCCGACCTACCGCAAAAAACTGGCTCGAAGACAATTTGCATACGAATCAAAACTTTTGAATTTGCGAAATTTTCCTCTCGACGATCAATCGATTGCTCGATCACGCATGTATATGTGTGATTCGCATACTTATCTGTTGAACTGTGCAAGAGAAATAGATGACGATGGCTCGCCTATTTATAAATGTGACGGAGGCACCTGCCTCCATTCGTTCACGATAGCCGCCATTGAAATTTTTCTATTTTTCTCGCAAAAATTCGAACCATTCGAAATCGAATATTTTTTAAAATCGCTAGTGTCACGATCGAGAAGGACTCTCGAGATCTTCCTCTAGAAACCTGCAGTTTTCGGGGATTTCGATGATTTGTGAATGAAATTCATACTCCGGCCCTCTGTTGGCACGCGATGTGTTTTGACGATATTACGTGATGCGATTCTACCCAATTGTTTATTACTTGCTCCAGAAAGTAATTTATTTTTGAACACGTTTCTTATACTTTGAGAAGTTTTCAACCCTTTGAATTATACGAATCAAATATTATACGAGTTCAAATATAACAAAGGAAATCTATTTTATCTATTTTATTTCGTGAATAAATTTTATTATCGTATAATTAATTATGTGTACCTAAGAGAAAATGTATGTATGTAAACGAGAAAATATTTCTTTTTGATTGCAAATTAAATATTCCTTTTATAAAATGTGATGGATTTAATGGTGAACTATTCAAGATGCTCAACATTATCGTTTTAATAATATGAAAAATAACGAGCGAATTCCGATATAAAATAAATAAATTCCTATATTGTAGTAACGAAAAAAAAAATTAAGTTTTTATATCTCTGATCGTAGCTGAAAATAGTATTTTGTAAATACTTGCATTCATTCATGAATAATATATCATGTTATAATATAAAGAAACAAAAAAAAAAAAAATACGAATCACGAATATGGTTTATCGTTTAAAGCCATTGGAGAGAGAAATAATAAAATAACAGAGGAAACAAAAAACTCGGAAACAAAAAATTATTTAAAAACTTTAGTATTTCCTTAAACATATATCATTCTTTTTCTTCCTTTTTTTTTTTTTATATTTTCGCAGCAGATTGCATATCTATCAGTTAGACCGTCATTATTTAAATATAATTCACGGTCGATGATGGTTATATTTCTTAGAAATTCATTTGTCTATTATTTAACATACGAATAAATTTTACTTATTTCTCAAACATTGGCCAATATCCACTT